AGCAGCAGCAGGAGCAGCAGCAGCAGCAGGAGAGCGCCTCCGAGAGGCGGGAGACGCTGGAGCGGCTGCGGAAAGCCCGCGCAGCTTTGGACGAGGGCGGGGAAGCGCTGCAGCAGCAGATGCGGCAGCAGCAGCAGCAGCGGAAGCTGCAGCAGCAGCAGCAGCTGCAAGAGGCCCTCAGGAAAAATGTTTGTTTGCTGCAGCCGAAGCTTCTGGGCGACTTATGGGCATATGACATGGAGGAAGACACGTGGCTTGAGCTGCCTGGCAGCCAGCATGCTGCAGCAGCAGCAGAGCGCCCCGCTGCTGCTGCTGCTGCTGCTGCTGCTGACAGCAGTTTGCTGCCATGCCCCCGCAGCTTCATGTCTCTCACTCTTTTTAAATCTCCCGCAGAAGGCCCCGTGTTGGTTCTCTACGGAGGCATCGACGCAGAAGGCAAAGTGTAGGCCTACAGCAGCAGCAGCAGCAGCAGCAGCTAGCCCAGCAGCAGCAGCAGCAGCAAGAATAGCTAGTGGAATAGGTGCAGATGCAGCAGCAGGTGCAGGGGTAGCAGCAGATACCCCGCAGGGGTAGTCGTTAGACAGGGCGTTCACGCAGCCAGAGGCCAATGGAAAACTGCTGCCGCTGCTCTTGTTGCTGCTGCTGCTGCTGCAGACTGTCGGACTGCTGGTTCTTCGACTTGCTGCAGCTGCAGTGGCACTCCCGAAAGGAGCTGTGGCTGCTGCCTCCTTCTTTTTGGATGATTGAAGGGTCTCAGACAAATGCTCCGGGGCATGCGCTGCACTCTGCTTCTCTGTGGTGCAGCAGCAGCAGCAGCAGCAGCAGCGGCCCCAAGCCTGCTGCTGTCGTCCCTGCAAAGCAGCAGCACAAGCAGGCGCCGCAGCAGCAGCGGCTAGACCACGACGCTGCAAAGCGCAAGTTTGCTGCTGCAGCAGAAGCAGCCCCTGAGGGGGGATCCATTATTATCTTTGGGGGCGTCCGCAGCAGCAGCAGCAGCAGCAGCAACAGCAGCAACGAGGCCTACTTAACAAACGAAGTCTTCAGGCTCTACCCAGAAGAAAGGGTTTGGCGCCGCCTCACCACAAAAGGGTCTTCTCCAGAGCCGCGCATGCGGTCAGCTGCTTCTGCTGCCGCTGCTGCTGCTGCTGCTGCTTTTCTTGCTGCTGCAGCTTTTCGTGCTGCTCCTGCTGCTGCTGCTTTTCCTGTCGTTCATACTTCTGCTGCTGCTTTTTCTAGGCAGCGTGGCCAGCAGTGCTGCTGGGTGTCCCGCTCCTTCGGAACTCGTTGCTGCTGCTGCTGCTGCTGCTGCCGCTTCAGGCACTCTGCAGGTGTTTTTAGGGATTCTTTATTTGTCTATGGGGGCCGAAATGCCCAAGGAGATGCATGCGCCGGTGCGGCCTTTTGCTGCTGCTGCTATTCTTGCTGCTGTTGCTGCTGCTACTGCTGCTGCTGACGCCACTGCTCTTGCTGCTGCTGCTGCTGCTGCTACTGCTGCTCTTCCTTGTGCCTTCTTTGCTGTCGTTGCTGGTCTATTTTCTGCTGCTGTTTCTGCTGCTTCTGCTGCTGCTTGAGCTGGGCAGCAACATAGGCCTATGCATGGCGTGTCTCATGAGCTTTTTGTCGCATCATCTGTTCCCGCTGCTGCGCTGTTGCTGCTACTGCTGCTGCTGCTGCTGCTGCTGCTTCTGTGCTGCAGATTGTGTGTACCAGCTGGATCTGGTGACGATGAGTTGGGCCTTTGCCTCTGTGGCTTCGTCAGGACCGGATGCCTTCGAGCTCTCCGCATGCACTGTGGCCTTGGTGAGCTGCTGCTGCTGCACTGCAGTTGCTGCTGCTGCTGCACTGCTGCAGCTGCTGCTGCTGCAGCACTTTGTGTTGCTGTTGCCGGACTGCGCGGCCGCTTCCTTGCTGTTGTTGCGGCAATCGTGCGTGGACTGACTTGGCATTTTCTGCTGCTGCTGCTGCACTTGCTGCTGATGCACTTGCTGCTGCTGCCGTGCTGCTGCTGCTGCTGCTGCTTCAGGGAAGTCTTGTAGTGCTAGGGGGTCGGTGCCTTGACAGCAGCCTTTCGAATTCTGTCTTTTGTTTTCCTTTGGGGCGCCCAGAGGCCCCGAAGCGCAAATCCACAGTACCCAGGCTGCAGAAAAACTGAAAGCGTTTTGCTGCTGCTGCTGCTGCTGAAGCAGCGGCAGCTGATGCTGCTGCCGTGGCAGCTCGAGGGACGTAGTGAGACAACGCAGCGAATAACAGGCAGCACCGAAGGTGCAAAAAAGACAGAGGCAGGTATTTTGGCTCAGGTGCTGCTGCTGCTGCTGCTGCTGCTGCTGCTGGAGCAGCAGCAGCAGCAGCAGCTTTCGGGGACCGTTGAAAGGCCAACCCTCTCCTTACTATCCGCAGCGAACGTATTCTTCTTCATCTCAGTGCATCTAGCTAGCCAGCTAGCTAGCTAACTAACTAGCTAGCTACCTAGCTAGCTAACTAGCCAGCTAACCAACTAGCTAGCTGGCTGGCTAGCTAGCTAGCCACAGATTGCCTGAACAACTAGCTGTCAAATCTCCGTGGCCCCCCACAGCCGTGCAACGCAGCACTGCTCTTGGCTGGCTAGTCCCCAGCAGCTAGCTAGCTAGCAGGCTCCCTAGCTAGCCAGCTAGCTAGCTAGCCAGCTAGCTAGAGCCAGCTAGCTAGCTCGCGGGCAAACATGTGCCCTCCGTAGTTATGTGGAGTGCCTCGCTAGCAATCGGCGAGCTAGCTAGCTAGCTGGGCAGCTAGTTAGCCACTTGGGCAGCTAGCCACTAGCTAGCTAGCTAGCTGGCTAGTGGCTAAAAAAAAAAGAAA